CCTCTCTGTAGCGTTTTGTGAGAGGAGAGAGACAGAGATCCTGATAGTTTGTTGCAGCAGCTGTTCCTGTGAAAAATAAAAAGTATCTTCAGTTAATTAAAATCCTATTTTAACCCCTTCCCTGCCAGATCTGTTACAGACAGTGCATTTTTACTGTCTGTATTTTTTTTTTTGCCCTTAAGGGTTAACTTTATTTTAAAAAATCTGTGTCTTAGACTGTCTTAGACTGTCTTAGACTGTCTTAGACTGTCTTAGACTGTCGTAGTCTGTTTTAGTCTGTTTTAGTCTGTTTTAGTCTGTCGTAGTCTGTCATAGTCTGTCATAGTCTGTCATAGTCTGTCATAGTCTGTCATAGCCTGTCGTAGTCAGTCAGTTTCCTTCCCCCAAATCTCCATTAGATTCTTCTAACAGGAGTTAGTTTAGGGATTACTGTTTTAGTCTGTTTTAGTCTGTTTTAGTGTTTAAAAAAAAATAAAAAATATTGTGTTTAGTATTTTGTTAGTTTAGTCTGTTGGTGTGAAACATGCAGCGCATGTACAGCTTGGAGGAGGCATATGCCTTCTTGGCGTCAGACTCTGACGCCACTGACACTGCGTCCGATTTTGACCCAGGTCAGTTTAGCGGCACGTCTAGTGACATGTCATCTGTGAGTGAGCCAGCTGCTAAAAGAAGCTGTGCTTCCCCTGCTACGCTGAATGTGGAGGAGGACTGGGTACCTCCACAGTTAGCTGAGCCCAACATCCCCCCCTTTTAGTGCCAACGCAGGCATTAATGTGAATGTGGTTGACTTCTCCCCTATACAATATATGGAGTTATTTTTAGGGGATACCATCTGGGAGGAGATTGCTTCCCAGACTAATTTATACGCTAGCCAATTTATTGAGACCAATCCAGGTAGCTATACAGTCAGGGAGTATGCTTGGCATCCCACAGATGTCCCTGAACTTAAAACATTCTGGGCTCTTACCATGCTCATGGGGATAATAAAAAAGCCATCAATCCGGTCTTACTGGAGCACCAACCCAATTTGTTCGACTCCTATATTCTCCCAAACAATGCCTAGACCAAGATATGAGCTGCTGCTCAGATACTTACATTTTAACGACAATACGCTCTGTCACCCCAGAGATCACCCCTAATATGATAGGCTTTATAAAATACGCCCACTGGTAGACCATCTTCAGAACAGATTTTCTGAAGTTTATACTCCCCAACAAACTTTATCCATCGATGAATCCCTTATGAAATACAAAGGGAGATTAGGGTTCAAACAATATATCCCCTCAAGGCGGTCTAGGTATGGCATTAAAGTGTACAAACTTTGCGAGAGCGAAAGTGGCTACACATTTGCCTTCCGTGTATACGAGGGGAAAGATGCTCAACTGAACCCTCCTGGCTGTCCTGACTCTCTGGGGACAACTGGGAAACTTGTTTGGGACCTACTAAACCCTTTGTTCAATAAGGGTTACCACCTTTATGTGGACAATTTTTACAGCAGTGTCCACTTGTTTAAAATTCTTTATAGTTTACAGACACTGGCCTGCGGCACTGTAAGAAGAAATGCCAAGGATTTTCCCAGACCTCTCATAGAGGCCAAATTAAAAAAAGGGGAATGTAAAGCTCTGCGCAAGGCTGAACTGCTTGCGCTAAAATTTAAGGACAGGAAGGATGTTCACATGATAACAACCATCCATAACGAGGCCATGTCAGACGTCACTGTCCGAGGCAGGGTACAGACAAAACCGGTGTGCATCAGGGCTTATAACAGGCACATGGGGGGTATTGATTTGGCTGATCAGCTGATGCAGCCTTATCTTATCTTAAGAAAGACAAAAGCCTGGTATAAAAAGGTGGCTATCTACCTGTTGCAAGTAGCAACACATAATTCATTTTTACTTTTTAAAAAAATGAATCCAGGAAGAACCACCTATCTCCAATTTCAGCTCAAGCTGATTTCCACAATAATTTATGGAGATGGTCAAGTTCCAACGACAGTGCAAGAGTCGCCTAGACATTTTATTTTTAAGATACCGCCAACACCAAAAAAAAGAAACCCCCAGAAACGTTGCCGGGTCTGTTATAAAAAAGGGAAAAGGACAGACACCCCTTTTCACTGTCCCGATTACCCTACAAAACCTGGACTGTGTATTGGAGCATGTTTTAAGGTCTACCACACAGAAAATACATTTTTATAATACTTGTTCCTGATTTATTTTTTTTGTTTATTTTGAAAGCAGCAAATTTCTGTTAGTCAGTATCCTTCCCCAAATCTCCAGTTAGATTCTTTTTG